CTCTTTCGGTCTTTCCCATGCATTTGTTATTTGCGATTACTTGCTCCCAGCAATATGATTTACATTTTTAAACATCATCATTTGTGGGGAGACAACTGCTACGGACCAAGGTTGGGATTGCTCGGTAGGTCGAATTTATATCTGTTCAAAGAACAATCTAGGCAAGGACCATATTTGGGGCAATGCTTCTTTGATATTATGAATGCTATTCAGTGCATGATTAGCACTTGACATCAAATCTGAGCATCCCACCTGCCCACCAGAAATGTTAACTTACCATATGGAATTATTTAATTTCTTAAGTTTCACAATAAATTATAGCTTACAATAACCGTGTTAAGTTCAGCAGCTTTCCCACTTGCAATGTTTCTAGAACTGTCATCAAAAAACAACTACATAGGATGGAAAAGGAAAAGAGACTTGTAGTTAAGTTGATTCCAATATTAAATGGCTAAAATATATAAATAAACTAAAAGGTATAACGTTCATGCTTCTCTTAATCTACGTAATAGATTTACCGTTTTCCTTGAATCTATATGAGCAATCTGAATAGCAGCTTTTGTGGCTTTCCACAAAGGGTTTGCAAAGGATTTGTCTTGGACTTGAAACATCCACTCTGTATTTGGTTATAGACTTGCAGAGTTTGTTAAACGAAATACTCCACGTTAGGTACATCCATGTAATTAGGAGGATTAAGCGTTTTAAAGCATATGATGCTGTCAAAACAATCTTTCAAGCCCAATTGCTGAGAACTTGGTGTGCATGTGCTTCATCTGAATTAGTGAATACCTGAGATGACCATTTCCAAGTCTTAGAATTGGATGGAATGATCTCCACTGAACCAACTAATATAGAAGATTGACATACTATTTTACGCTGAGGCATGAAAGCAGAAGGTTCTTTAACATTGGATCTGGCTTCAATTTCTCGTATGTAATCTTCCATGCACGTAGGCATGAAATTCATCAATGTCCAACTCATACCCAATGGCCTGAAAACAAGGAGTGAAACTCATTGATAATGAATTAGTATTTCATATGGAAATAATGATGAAGAAAAAATCGAAAGTAATGCCATAATTTAATTTTTATACCTCTACAATGTGTTTGGCCGATAATGAGAAACTTGAAATTTTTAGAAATTAAATTACGTTGATTTTAATTTTTGACACTCTTTAAATGTTTTGTGTGGACAATGTAATTTTTTAAGATTTTAAATTTTTAGTTTGGATAGAACAATTCAATTCTACTATACATAAAATTGATTTAAAACAAATATATATTAAAATTTTAAGATTTAATTTTATAAATTTAAATGTTAGCTAATTTTTAAATATTTAATATATTTTTTAAAATAATATTACATAATATTAAATAATTTTGAGTATTTAATAATTAAAAATTTATTAATATTTTTTATATCGATTTTGAAAGGAAAAAAAATAGGAGAGAGAAAGAAAAAAACAAAAATTTTAAATTTTTACATTTTTTTAAAAGAGTTTAAAATTATATAATTTAAAATAATTTCATAAATACTTTAATTTCTTTTTTTTGTTGTTGTAAATTTTCAATCAAAACAAAATATTTCACATTAAAGTATTTGAATTTCTTTAAAAAAAATTAAGTTACTTCATTAAAATCTGTATCTAAATACACTCTTAATCCGGACATAATTGTCCCGTATTCAATGTTCAAATCATAGCAACTCTTTGGTACTTACACTTTCTTCCATTTCGACATCTACTCTGTAAACAATATTGGTTAGCTAAAGGACTTATTTTTGCATATTTTTTTGGTAACACATCTTTGGTACTTTTTTACTTTTTTTTTTGTTTTTGCATATTATCTTAACACTAGAGGCATTGCAGTTATTTTATTTTATTTTATTTTCATGGTTAATGTTTGTACCTTTTATGTTCTTGCGAATGCCACAACCTGCATCAACATGGAATGAATTTGTTAATTCCAATGCTATGTATTATATTTGCTTTTGGTATTTAAGTCTTAAATGCAAGTATCATCAGTCGCGGGAGCAATGGTTGAAGTTTGAATTTGATCATAGAAGTAATTGAAACAGAAATAGTGATGAGAAAAAAGTTACCTGGTGAAAGGAGGAAGAAAATCGAGGGAGTATAAAGGTATACATGGCCAAGTCTTGCAATTTATAGCTCAATATATCGATTCTGCGGCCCAATATAAAAGGACGAGCCAAGTGAGTTATTTAATGTGGTGTGATAAAATGGATATATGAAGATGAAGCATTATCATCAATGTGAACCACAAATGAAATAAAGGCATAGGAAAAGGACATTAGATGACAGAATAGGTAAGTGAAATATTGACAAAAGAAGTAAAAACACGTGCTTATTTATAAAAATTAATAAAAAACTATATATTTATTTGATATCCATATTCAATGGGGTCGGTGTGAATAGCGGATCTGACAAAATATTTTGAAAAGTCAAAAAAATATTTAAATACATATAATTTAAATTATTTATAATATATATATATATATATATATATATTATTTAAAAGGAAAAAAAATTGAGAAGATCATGACTCCTTCTCTCCTTTTAAGCTTTGTTATTAGTGATTATTATCGGTAATTATTATTATCATCATTACTATTAACACTCATACCACCATCTTTATTTTTATTATTGATAATGACAAAAATATAATATAACTAAATAATGACAATAATAATAATAATAAAGATCGTAATAGAAATAATATTATTAGTATCTATAATTATATTTTAATTTTAAAATTATTAATTATTTTTATCTATAATTTAATGAGTATAATTTAGTTTTCTAATTTTTTTATTGTAAGAGATGTTCTCATAAATAATAAAGTTTAATTTTAATTCTTAAATTGAAATAAACACTTTATATTAAAATATTATAAATAAAATTATATCAACGATAGAAATAATTACAATAATAAATTTAGGTGTTAGCTTTATTTGTTTTAACTTAAAATTGAAATTGAGTATTTTTATTAATACATAAAAAAGTAATCACATACTTACTCAAAAAAATTGTTTTATTGAATAAATTGATTAACAAGAAAATTACTAATATTTATGATAGTTACAATTATTTACTGATTTTTTAAGGTAATTTTAAAAAAATAAGATTTAAACTACAACTGTTTATTGGAAAAAAAAAGCCACAAATACTTATTTAACATTATTAAGGCATTGTAAAATAACTATTAAACATTGGATAATATTAATTGTGATAGGTGTATAATTTAATTTTAATTAAATTATGTAATATATTATTGTTAAAATTTATATTTTATCTTTTATTTAATAATTTTTTTTATACTGTAGTTTAAGTTTGAATAAATGATAAATAACAATTTTTAATTATCTTAAACAGGTAAGACTTACATTATTCTCAATACACCTTTTTACGTTAATGAATTTGGTGTGTGAATTAATGATTATTTTTTAGAGTAGATATATGATAACTTTATATCATTTTAGAATATAGATTATGAGTTTGAGATGTTGGTTATTTCTTAATTATACATTTTTTTAATTTTTTTTTATCTTTAGTTTATATGAGAATTAAAATTTTCTTTTCTCAATAATTGTATTAATATATAAAATTAAAATTATGTATGAGATCTTAAGTTTGAATGTTATATTTGTTGAAGTTATAAAACTAATTAATATTTGTTTTAAAATAAGCGTGTGTGTAAGAATATTTCTTTTGTGTGTTTCAAGTGTTTTTTTGGCAAAACAAGGAATACAGAAAACAAATAATAAAACACACAAAAAACAAACAAAGTGTTTTATATATAACTAAAAATGCTGTTTTTTATTTATAAATCTCTTTTATCATATATAGGACCATTATAAACACAAAGTTTTTTTTATTTAAATGTTTCATACGTAAATTACTCAAAATAAAATTTTCTATTATCGATTAAATTGAAATAACTTCATACTTATTAATTTACTTGTTAATTTTTTTAAAAAATAATTAAGTTGATGCTATAAATCGAGTCAATCAATTAAAATCAAATAAAAATCAACTCTTGTAGAAAGAAGTTCAAAGATGATATAGTTATCGATGGGAGCAGGAATAATACTTAAATAATACATCACTAGAAAATAATCAACAAAGAATCATCATGAAAAATTCTTAATAGTCTTCAAAGACTAGTTTAGTAATGTTTTTATTATTTAAACTAGTTTAGAAAGAAGCACTTCCACTCCATGTATTTTTTTATTTATATTTGTTATTTTATAAAATTAGTATTTTAATATGTGTATTTTATAGGTCAAATATTATTATAGTTAGTTAAATGTTATAATAAATTATACATATAAATAATATTATATTTAAAATTTGTTTAAATAGATATTTTAAAAATATAAATTACATTTTATTTTAAATAAATAATTTATATCATAACACAAGATTATTTTAATTATTGTTAATTTATTTTAAAATTTTAATTTATAAATAAATATAATAAATAAAAAATTTGAATTGGTTAAAATGTTAAAAGAATTTCTAAAATCGCTCTTGTTTAATAATAACTTCCTAAAAATATTTTTATACAAAATAGTCGTTTACATTTTTTTTATAGATAAGATTTTCACAGTAGACCAAAATTAACAATAAAAAATTAATATGTGTAACTTTTATTAGTCAAATATTATTTCAACATAAACGAAAATCAAATATGATAATATAAAATTCATATTTCAAGACAAACTTTACAATAATTTGCATTTAATAAGACTTATTAAGTATAATTGATATAGAATTGATTTTTTTAATTAAAAATTAAAAAATAGCTAAAGAAGGTAAATAACTAATAATTGAGAAGTGACTTTCTAGAAATAGTTGAAGAACAAAATTACTTAAAAATTGTGTACAAAAAATTTGATTATTATTTTTTATTATTAATCAATATAGTCTATATATAAAAAGTAAAAATGTAAAAATAATAAATGCAGATGTTATTTTTTTAAAATGTTCATGATTAATATTTACCAATATTTTAAGAAGAAATAGATTATGTTCATTAATATTATCAGTGAATGAGATCCTAAACATTATTATAAAGTAAAAAATAAAAAAACTAATATATTGATTATTTTCCGATTACTGTTGAGAAAATAGCATAAAGGGGGAAAAGATAGGATGTTATGGAAGAGAAAAGACAGATAATTGCTTTGTTGGGACAAGTATAGTATACAACGTAACAAATGCAGTAATTAAGGCACGTTGAAAAATAATAAGACCAAAACAAAAGGGACTGACAAGGGTATCCTTGGAAAGTCAGAACCGTTGCTGCGGACATACCAGCTACATACATTCATGTCTCCTTCCGTTTTCTCCGTAACCAAGATTCTCTATAAATAAAAAAGTTAAAAACAACACAAAACAAAAAAGAGAGTGAGTGAGTGATTAAGCTCAGAGCTTGTTGTGATCTCACTCAGAAATGGGAATGAAGCTGATTCTAATAGCTCTTGCCTTTGTTTCTGTGGTTACAAACGAGGCTAGATCTGAGCCTTTGTTAGAAAACGATGCCGTTTCACTGGCTGCAGCGCCCGGACCTAAGCCTCTCACCGTACCTCTCACTCTTATTCAGGGAGCTGCTTCCAAAGGAGCTGGTAACTCTCTTTCTCTCTCATTCAAATTATTTTTACCATTTCTAATTTGCTTCATTATTTCTTAAAGCTATGTTCTCTCTTTTCTTTAATGATTTGAATGCTAGCTTCACCATCAACCCACTTTCTACTTACCATTGCATTTTCCCTTTCTGCCCCTCAAATGCTCCCTTTATCATTTTTTTCCTTTTTTTTTTTTTTTTTTTTTTT